AATACAACAATGACAATAAGGTAAGCTGATGAAGGTTCTGCTACATTTGGCAAGGATCGACCCGTGAGGTATCATGATACCGGATCACCTTGCTCTGAGACTTGGATCTAAATTTTCTTCTTTGTATTCTAACTAACATTTTATACTTAGACAGTATCGTTCAATGTCGCAGGGACCAGCACCCAAACTATGAATGTGACGGCCCAACTAAATGTCACCGCGTATGGAACCCAAGTATACCACAATGAGTTTAATCCTTGTGATGAGTCTACATTTGTTGCCCAGCTCTGCCCTGGTATGTTTAATTCCATTCCAGGGACCTTACCATGTTGACTCTCTACAGTTCCCGAGGGTTCCTTTTCGGCCACTGGCACGCAAGTCATTCCATCCTCATTTGCTACCCTGATTCCCTCGATTGCCTTCTCAGTCCCAGACATTGCAGCGCAGGCAACTCTTCAACTGAAAGCTCCTGATACCGGCAACGATATTGCTTGCATCACGTCAGATGTCAACAATGGCAAGACGGTCGACTTACCAGCTGTCTCCTACGTTGCTGTTGGAATTGCTGGAGCAGCGTTGGTGGCTACGAGTTTCTCAGCACTTAGTGCGGCAGTTGCCAGTGGAGGTACTGGAGGCACTGGAACCTTAAGTCCGTCCTTCTCTGAAACTGTGGGATGGTTCCAAGGAATGGCAATGAATGGAATGATGTCTGTGAACTATCCACCTGTTTACAGAAGCTTCGCCAAAAACTTTGCATTCAGCACTGGTCTCGTGCCGTGGACGGCAGTGCAGACCTCAATCGACAATTTTCGGGCTAAGACTGGTGGAAACCTAACAGACGACAGTGTTCAATTTCTACAAAATGCCACACTCACTTTTAGTGATGGTTCCGGGTCATCAGTTGTGAGTAGGGCATTGAGCAAACTACTATACCGAGACATTACCACCGACGTGAACTCATCTGCCACAGCGGGGTCGTCAAGCTCAGGTTCCTCGCTACAGACTACCGTCTCCGGCATTGAGGCCTACGCTGAGCAGCTGACTGTTCCTCAAGCTAATACATTCATGACTGTGCTCCTAGTCGTAGCTATTGTCATCGCTGCTATTATCGTTGGAATCCTTCTCTTCAAATTGATACTGGAGATGTGGGCTCTTTTCGGCTCATTTCCCGAGGGACTAAAGGGGTTCAGAACTCATTACTGGGGTACCATGGCAAGGACGATTGTCAGCTTGATCCTCATTTTCTACGGTTCGTTACAGTCTCTTTACTGCAGTTTTTAGGTGGTTGAGACATCGCGTCAGGCTACTAACATTAGCATACAGGAATTTGGGTACTTTACTGTATCTTCCAATTCACCCACGGCGATTCTTGGGCCGCCAAAATCTTGGCCGGTGTCACGTTAGCTCTCTTCACCGGAATCCTTGCCTTCTTCGTCTTCAAGATATGGCACACGGCACGTCAACTGAAAAAGGCTGAAGGAGACGTATCTGGGCTTTACGAGGACAAGGAGACGTGGCTGAAATACAGTATCTTCTACGACAGCTACAGGAAGGACTACTGGTGGATCTTCATCCCGGCAATCATCTACATGTTTGCGAAAGGCTGCGTGCTCGCAGCCGCTGACGGCCACGGATTGACTCAAACGGTTGCACAGTTGGTCATTGAGTGCCTGAGTAAGTACAATTCGTTAGTTGTCTGGTTTTGACTCTATTCTTCGAAACGACACCATGTTATCACCAACATATCTTTCATATCAACCATTGCTAATTCTGCCTAGTGTTCGGCCTCCTCATCTGGAGCCGTCCCTATGAGCGACGATCTGGTAACATTATCAACATCTTCATTCAGGTTGTCCGTGTTTTGTCCGTTGTCTGCATCCTAGTCTTTGTGGAGGAGCTCGGGATCGCCCAGACCACAAAAACAATCACTGGCGTCATCCTGATCGCAGTCCAGTCCGCTCTGACTGGACTATTGGCCATTCTAATCGCCGTCAACGCTATCATATCCTGCTGCAGGCAAAACCCTCACCGCAGGAGACGGAAAGAAGCTGGTGAGAACCATAAGATCCAATCGCGGCCAGAGAGAAGTTCCAGGGCTAACTTGACTGTTCAGAGAAACTTAACCGTGACATCGATGCTCTCACTCCTCTTGATGCGCACAACTCTCTTCTCTCACATCCAACCCTGGCTTCCGGCCAGACCTACAACATCGAGAGCAAACAGCCCCTAGCTCACGATAGTGTAGACAGCTTCGCGAAGGACCCCGCAAATCCATACTCGGGAGCTATGCACCTCAGACCGTACGCCCAACAGAGTCAGGGATTGGGGTTAGCGGCAAGCAGAGAGAGGCTAGTTGATAACGCATCGCCGCTCGAGGGCAGTCCACCCGAGACGAGGCATTTGATGGGGTATGAGGAAGGCTATAGAGGTGTTTGGTGATAAGAGAGCCGTCCTGTTTTTATTTCATTTGTCAAGTTTGTGTTGGTGTTGGGGCAAAATGACGAACCTATTCGCTGGTGCATAGACAATTGCTGCTCTGCGTAGAGCGGTTAAAGGATAGTATAAAGTTGGTATATAGCTGATTGTACAAGTGTACAAACATATAGTTTATAGTTTAAAGGGAGCTATAAATATAATTTCTAAAGTAAATATGCTTACTTAGTAAACGTGTTAGAGTAGCATAGCTTTACTCACTATAATAAGATAAAGTTACTAATCTTATAAGATTACTAGCTTTAAATTACAAGACTTAATTACTTACTTCATTTAAGAGGTAAAGTGTTTAATCGGCGTATTGTCCATCTAGACAGTCATACAACGATGTGCTCTCAAGAGCGCTTTCCACGAGTCTGTGCGTGTCGAAACTATGATACCCTTCCCTCTTGTAAACTGGCTCCACATTCTCTCCATAGTAGCGTCTTGGTCATATCTGCCACATTCGCAAGCATATCATTGCCGGTCCAGATTTGCACAAGTCCTCTATATGCCCCTTAATAGCCACATCGGCTCTAGCATCAACCTCTCCATCCTCTCCATCCTCTCCATCCTCTCCATCCTCTCCATCCTCTCCATCCTCTCCATCAAAAATTCTGATTAAAAGATTATATGTAATAAATACCTGAGCAGCATTAATTAAATCCTTGTGTAGTTGTAAAGAACTACGGTTTTAGGTAGAATTAGAGCTAATTAGAACTAAAACTCAATATCTTAAGAACTCTATAAGCAACTTCGCGCAATTCAAGGTAGCTGCATCCTGGTCTCTCTAGGCACAGTGGATTTAGATTCTACCCTACTACTACAGCGCTAACATCTATTTCAGCATGCTCTTTCTTAGCTAGAGTGGCCGATCAATTTAACAGTGTCTCAACCCTAAGGATGAAGCTCGTGTTCTCGATTAGCTAAATGTTACATTGGTAGAGTGGCACAAGTAGTAAGTGCTGCACAAAGACGTGTAGGGGACAAGTAGCATGGTCGCCGCCTAATGCTTGTTGATTTTGAGCACGCAGAGATCCGTAGTAGGCACCCTCTCGCCAAATAGCAAGAGGAATAAAGAAGGGAAATTGAAGTCGGGGATAAAGGAGGATGAATTTTATTGTAAGATGCAGTGTGCGAGAGCCTCCATCTCTCGATGTATCATTGAACTTCAACTGCACCTAGATTCTATTGCGAAAATATCTCCATAGCCATCAACGTTAAATATTAAATTTCTACAACTGGAGCTTATTGCGTGGTTCCGACCTGAAAAGCGTCGAAGCCAAACAATTGCCAGGGTCTGCTCGGCCGGTATCGGACTGTTGGACAAGTTACACTGATCATCTAGTATCCTCATCTTTATCGGGCATATTCGTGCTTTCTAGAGAAAGGGTTAGCCGCTCTTGAATTATCGTAGCAATATCTTTGCATCTCGTATCCATGGCTGGCTCCTCTCTTCTTCGTCTTGGTGAAAAGAGTCAACATTAGGGAGTAAGGCGAGAGAAGCTAGTGTAGGTTGCTCTGTAGATTGGCCAGCAAGGAAGCGCACAGCATTTCTTGTAAGAATAACTCGAAACTACAGATTGGAATACTGAGCAAACGAGGATATTAGGAGTAAAAGCTTAATTACTGCAACAGAACCTATATAGTATGTAGAGTATTAGTAAAAAGGGCAAGAGGAACTCCTAAAGCTACTTACCGCATGCTGCAAGGAGAAGATGTTTCTTGCCATCGTGAAGTGAGCTTGCAATCGTCTCTGCTGGAGATTGTAAAGTAGCTCGGCCGCGCTACCGAGTCTCCTGGCCATAATACGACAATGCCTGTTTTGTCGATTTGCTACTTTACCCGATAGTCTATAGTAATAAGTAGGAAGGCGCTAGGGTCTGCGAATGTGTATACAGTAGTTCCCGCGGTGATCAAGATCCTTGATGTGAGGCTAAGAAGTCTGAAATCTTTAACTCAATTACCTAATCCTCCGGCGAAATGACATCAAGTTATATTGTCGGATTGCAACAATACTTGGAGGTAACTTATATCTGAGTTTTGCGGCTTACGACGCTGAGTTTGGCGACCCCTCGCTTCAGGCAAGGCATGTGCACTGCTTGGTGCTGCTTTGTCTGCCTCTTCACGTCCATTTCTAACAACCCTTTATGGTCTGCTTGGGCTCTTAAACCTTATTTATCGTTAAAATCTCCCTTTGTTCCTTTGAACGTGTCGTACACAAATGTACTGTGTAATCTTCGCGAGGTCAATGTGTTGTTGTGCATGGCTGACCTTATGTAATGAGAATACTTGGTGAGAAAATCCAATGAAATCAACGTGGATTTAGCAGATAACGCGCCTGAGGTATCCTCATTATCTTCTTCTCAGTCACTATCTTCTGCCATTAACTCTGCTTGCCCTTGGATTTCTTTCTCGCTCTGTGCTTTTTCTTCGTGCGTAATTCTAGCTTCTTCTTACATTTGTCAAACTCGAACGTGATCTAACTGAATCAGTTAAAGCACAAGATAAGCTGCTTCCCGCTAAAGGCTACCGTGGTCCAATGGTTAGGATTCCACCCTTCCATCCGATGTTAGGTGGAGGTTCGTGTTCGATTCACGACGGCTGCATCATCAGCATTTTTTCTTTTTTTGCTCTTCTTTATGGCCATTCAACTTCTCGATGTACTAATAATGTACATATCTTTTGCCCAAATCTTTTGACTCCTGGTTTATTGCTCGCTTATTAGGACTCTAGCGTTTGTTTTTCTATAGGCTGTTCTATTCTAGGTTAATACCCAAGGTATTAAAAGTTCAAGATCACATGCGCAGAACCTGGCAAGAAAGTAATTAAATTAAGAAGCTTGCTTAAAGATCAGAATAAAAGTGAAGTTAGTTCTAATATAAAGCCTCTGAACAAAGAGGTACGGCCCTTAAAAGGCACCTAACCCCCCAACCTCATAAAAGCACGTGTTATCCTACTGTTGGCGTCTACCCGTCAAGAGCATGTAAACTAATAACAATTTGCTACAAGCCACTTTTGTAACTGAGTATATTTACTTTTGTCTTTGTAGGGCGAAAACCTTGTAATAAAGCTTATAAGTACAGTCAAAATATAAAAATGTTTAACCTAAAATGGAACAACCCTTTTTGTGACTTTATAACTGTATATTTATTGTAGTCTAATTCTTATTCTTATCATTATATTCTCTCCGTTAGAACTTGCTAATTTACTTGTTTATTGAAAGATACAGGTAAGTTCTAAGTGACATTCTGCTATACCTGGTAGCCAAAGTTACTTGCTCCGCGGACAGAAGCATAGAAGCCGCGAAGCCTCATCCCTCCGCCGACTCTGCGAATAATTATCGACTTCATTAACTTTTAACTGAAGGGACAAAGATAGAGGGATGGTTATGGGGGAGATGGGTTAAAATAAGGAGGAAACATATACAGTGTTAAATGTTAGGATGTTACAGTATAGTTATTTGCAAATCCTTTCACAACGTTTCAGCCCTACTTGAGAAAAGCACCACTGGTTTTCGCAAGCTGCTCATCATAATACCCCTGAAAAGCCAACCACCCCTTTTTTGGTCCTGCATGGTATCAGTAAGCACACACCTCATCCCCTCGGAATTTTAAACCCAAAACCTACCTCCAACTTGTTCATAAGTGAACGCCGCCTCTTCATCGTTAATAATAATCTTCTTCCTTCCGCTCCCGGCCTCCGCCGCATCCACCAACAGCTGGGCATGGCACGAGTTCTCCAAACTCATGAACCAGAATGCTGCTTCGTCCACGCTCTGGCCCACCGTCAGGAGACCATGATTCTGCAGAATGCAGGCTTTCCCCTGTCCCAGGGCCTTCGCGATGCGGATCCCCTCCTGCCGGTCTAGAACAATGCCGCCGAAGCTGTCGTACACGGAATGTGACTTGTAGAAGCGCAGAGCGTCTTGCGTGATCATGTCCAGCTCGCGGCCGAATGCCGAGAAGGCCTTGCCGTGCACGGAGTGCGCGTGGCAGGCCGCGTGGACGTCGGGGCGGGCTTTATGGACTGTGATTGGGAGTGGGTGTCAGGTTTAGCGTCTTACCGTTGTATTGGGCAAAGAGATTGGAAAACGAGATGAATGCAGAAATGGACAGGTTAGAACCAAAGGAAGAAAGACTTAAAGAGAGCTGAAGCAACACATAGTGTGAATATAGTGGATATCAAGGATCCATACTTTCAGAGTGGATAGCAAAAGCCGCTGCGTTGATGGGCTCGTCGCCCTCGACGACATTGCCATCCTCATTCACAAGGATCAGGTCCGAGACACAGATCTGTGAGAAGTGCATCGACAGCGGATTCAGCCAGAAGTGGTCAGTCAAGATGGGATCGCGAACAGAGATGTGTCCTGCGACGCCCTCGTCGTAGCCGCGGTCTGCGAAACTGCATGAAGGTTTCAGCCAGTGTTTCTTCAGATGTCTTATTTATAATATAATATAATTTTTGTAGGCATCGTATATATAACAACTACAAAACGGTGTAACAGGAGAAATAAATTCGTACACGCGAAACGCTGCGGCGAGATGCTGTTTGCGATACAGCCTCTCCTCCTCGAGGGTGTCGAAGGTGGGATAGGAGCGAATCCTGAGCTTCTTGCCCGATACAGTCTTGCCCATGGCCCCGAGGGCTGCATTGCCCTCGGATTCCGCTGCAAGCGTAGTTGCGGTGGGTGCCATTGCTGCCCGACGTATGCAAAGGGGAGGCAGGAGTGGTAGGAGAACAATGCACCTTTGTTTGACAAAGAGGCAGAAGATGTCAGGCGCAGAAGTGGTGGTATGTGGGGTTAAAAAGGGGAGGGGCTTCACGTGATATTGAAATACTGGCTATCCTCAGGCACAAGCTGGCTTGACCAGGCCACGAAGTGAGGATGTCTTATACCATTTAATCCTCAGGCACCAAGGCATCATTTCCGAAGGACAATGAGCAATACCCACTACAAAGCCTAACTGCAACTCCGATGACCGGTGTCAAATGTTCCTGTCATGCCTCCGCCTGATTGGCTGGCCCCGACAATGATAAGGCTAAAATACCGCTAAACCTGACCAGGCCTAAGATCAGCTTTCTTTTCTGACTTCTTTATCTCTGGACAATGACATCGCCTGATAGGGCCGTTGTCGGTCTTGCCGTGCCGGAATATACAGAATTACAGAATTACCTCGACATGTGCATAATTACGATGATTCTGGTATAATCCTCCCTGCCGAGAGGCCCCCACCAGATCCTGCTGCTGGGCGTGGGAGCGGCGTGGGAGCTCCAGGCACACTTTTATATCAAGTTATTACTCAGGATCCATTTTGCAGGACTGCCCGCTCAGGATAATACCCAAAGCCACCGCCCAACGCACATCAACCGGAGCGTGCTAGGTGGATTGCGGGTTGCACATGTGTCGGCCGTCTCTCCACGCCGCCGTGGGAGGTTGGCCTGGCTGGGTTGATGCTGGGATGCTTATTTTGGCCGCCGTGGGAGTGGCGGACACCCTCACGCGAACTCCCGGAAATTTATACTTAAAGACTCCACGCCCCGACTTTTTCCCTTGCCATTATCCTATTCTCCACGGCAGATGTCCATTCTCCCTGCTGTATACTCTGCGTAGGCATTCTCTGCCCGTGCTCTCTCCTCTCTGCTGCATGCCCCTCGCCTGTTTCTGCTGTGCATCCTCCTGCCTCTGATTCTCGGCTTCCCCCAAGCCAATACTCCCTCGGAATCAGAGACATCTTTCCCAACCACTTTGTATATCACCTCCAGGACTTCCCGCAGCCAAGGATTCAAGAAGCCAAGGAACCATCGCCATCATGTCCGATCAATCTGACCCGTACTACCCTAATTACGCCTATGTCGGCCCTCCCGCCCAATACAATGGCACCGGGGCGACTGGAGGAAATTCGGGTACGGTCTCACTCTTTTCCTCACAAGATCTGATTTTAGAAAGTAAAGGGGATGCTTGACTAACCGCAATGGACTACAGCCGTCGAAAATCTCAATCAATGGTTCGACCCTGGGGACCAGGCGTTTATCCTCGTCGCGTCATGTATGGTTCTACTCATGATCCCTGGCCTCGGATTTCTCTACTCGGGACTGGCACGCAGGAAGTCTGCACTGTCCATGATCTGGGCGTGCATGGGCTCCTTCTCTATCATCGTCTTCCAGTGGTATTTCTGGGGTTACTCGCTGGCATTCAGCTCGTCAGCGACAAATGGTTTCATCGGGAACTTGGACGCCTTTGGCCTGAAGGGCGTGCTGGCAAGGCCCTCCCCGGGCTCCCCGCTCATCTCTGAGCTCCTTTACTCCTTTTACCAGGTTGGTTTCTATTATCCAGAATATATGCCTTCGGTATTAACACTTCTCAGTTACAATTCTGCGCTACAACAGCTGCCATCGTCATGGGAGCCGTCGCCGAACGAGGCCGTCTGATCCCAGCTATGGTCTTCACCTTCTTCTGGGCCACCCTCGTGTACTGCCCCCTTGCGTGCTGGGCATGGAACATAAACGGCTGGGGATTCAAGTATGGTGTTCTCGACTACGCTGGAGGTGGACCCGTCGAGATTGGCTCTGGTCTTTCTGCTCTAGCTTACTCTCTGGTGCTCGGGAAGCGCCAGGAGAAGATGATGCTGAACTTCAGACCTCACAACGTATCTCTCATTACCCTTGGGACGATTATCCTGTGGTTTGGATGGTTGGGCTTTAACGGTGGTTCTGCTTTCGGTGCCAACCTCCGCGCGGTGATGGCATGCTGGAACTCGTGCCTTGCTGCGATGTTTGGCTCGATTACCTGGTGTCTGCTGGATTACAGACTTGCCAAAAAGTGGAGCATGGTCGGTTGGTGTTCTGGGTGTATTTCCGGCCTTGTTGCAGGTATGCTTCTATCTCCTTCACTCTAAAAAGTAGTGCTAACCTGTCACAGCCACTCCAGCAAGTGGATTCATTCCTCCTTGGGCGGCCGTGCTTCTGGGAATTGTTACTGGAGTTGTTGCCAACTTCTCTACCAAGAGTATGTCTTACCCAGCCTTACACGCTTCAAGTCTAATGGAAGTGCAGTAAAATTCTGGATCCGCATTGACGACAGCATGGATGTGCTCGCTGAGCATGGTAGGTTAACTGCACATCAATTATACATGAGACTGCTAATGCATTACTAGGTATCGCTGGAATGGTCGGTCTCCTCTTCAACGCTCTCTTTGCTGCCGACTATATTATCGGCCTGGACGGCGTCAATACAGGCATCGTCAATGGAGGGTGGATCAACCACAACTACAAACAGCTCTATGTCCAAGTAGCGTATATCGTAGCTTGCACAGCCTACGCCTTCGTCGTATCCGGTATCCTCGCCTTCATCATTAACCTTATTCCCGGCCTGGAGCTCCGCGCCTCCGAAGAGGCTGAGCTCCTCGGGATGGACGACGACCAGCTAGGCGAGTTCGCATATGACTATGTAGAGGTGCGAAGGGACTATCTTGCATGGCAGCCTGCGACGGAAGAGCCTGAGAAAGGGGAGTACAGTGTCAACCCTCAGGACAGACATGGCATCCAAGAGCATAGCAGCATGTTCAATGATGGCTCGCTAGACTCCACAACCAACGGCCATGCGCAC